CATGTAAGTTCATTTGCCTCTATTGGTCTTTTCTGTCTGTTCATTTGGCTAATGCATTGTTTTCCTTCGGATTGAAACTTAGAGGTTGTATTCAAGTAGGACTGTCAAATTTAGCAAATGGAAATCCAAGACATGTAGCAACAGATATTACTTGGGACATAATTATATTAAGACATCACTCATTGTTTGTATGAAAATCAAATGTTATTGGGCATTCTCTATTTTATTTGGTAATCCTATGTCCTAGGGATATCTTCCCTGAAACCATACCCTAGGATTTGGCTAAACGCTCCTCTGATTTGCTCCTGTAGCATTATATGTTTACTCTATCACAACACTCATTTCGTCCCTATTACTCATATAATGCATCCATCTCTGTCATCATCCTCAAGGACAAAGAATCTATCTTTTTCAGCAGCATGTTTCCAGCATCTAAATAACCAATGTTTGGTGCTCAATGAATATTTATTTGATGTTTTTATTTTTATTTTTTTTCAGGTTTCATCTTTTTAATAAGCTCTGTGAAAGACATCCTAAGCACTGTATGAGACACAACAGAATATTTTTTCTTCCAGCATTTAAAAAAAAAAAAAAAAAGACATTTGCTAACATTTTAAAGCAACTCTTCTATATAATCAGTTTGATTATCTGAATTAGAAAATACTCCTGGATAATCATGTTATTGATACACTTTTCTTTTTTTTGAGATGGAGTCTCGCTCTGTTGCCCAGTCTGGAGTACAGTGGTGCGATCTCGGCTCACTGCAACCTCCGCCTCCGGGGTTCCAGCGATTCTCCTGCCTCAGCCTCCCGAGTAGCTGGGATTATAGGTGTACGCCACCATGCAGGACTAATTTTTTTATCTTTAGTACAGACGGAGTTTCACCATGTTGGTCAGGCTGGCTTGACGCACATTTCTTATAGGTACGTTTGGAAATTGCTTCCTAACCACAATAAACACTGTGTACAGGTTTTTAAAATGTCCTGGATACACATTAATTTTCTGAAACCAGTCTGGCCAAACTTGCCAGAATCAATTATTGCTAGCTCCAATAATCCTGAGAGGTCTAACTAAAAAACTGGTAAAAAGAAAAATACTCAGGCTCTACAAACGTTCCATAATTTGTCTTTAAATAGGCAGAAAAAATTTTTAAAAAGATGGAACTGTTAAAGATCTTTAACTACCTTGGCAGGTCAATTTAAAAACAAAAGGTTGATATGCTATAAAATAAGATGCTTCAGTGCAGCTCCAAAAACCTTTATAAATACAGCCATTTGGAAGGACGATCCTGGATCAGAAATTATTCCTTGTGTATCTACATTATGTGCATGTCTCATTTCACTTGTCATAATGGTCTCTGTAATTTCCTCCTGAGTAGGGGTCATAACCACCCTGGTTTCTGCCATTATAGTCTCTGGAACGTCCATATCCATATCCATACCCTCCAGGTCTACTGTCATAATACCTGCCACTCCCATAGCCCTGGTCCCCACCACCTCTAGAGTAGCTGCGACCACGCCATGGGCCCCAAAGCCACCTCCTCTGGTTCCCCGAGCAGACTTGCCTGCATGAGCCACACGGATCTGACGACCATCCAGGGACTCTCCGTTCATGGCTCTCATGGCAACTGAAGCATGCTCTGGGTTGGTGAAGGTGATGAAACCAAAACCCCTGGACCGCTGAGTCTCCCGGTCCTTGACAACGACCACCTTCTCGCTCTGTTGCCCAGTCTGGAGTACAGTGGTGCGATCTCGGCTCACTGCAACCTCCGCCTCCGGGGTTCCAGCGATTCTCCTGCCTCAGCCTCCCAAGTAGCTGGGATTATAGGTGTACGCCACCATGCAGGACTAATTTTTTTATCTTTAGTACAGACGGAGTTTCACCATGTTGGTCAGGCTGGCTTGACGCACATTTCTTATAGGTACGTTTGGAAATTGCTTCCTAACCACAATAAACACTGTGTACAGGTTTTTAAAATGTCCTGGATACACATTAATTTTCTGAAACCAGTCTGGCCAAACTTGCCAGAATCAATTATTGCTAGCTCCAATAATCCTGAGAGGTCTAACTAAAAAACTGGTAAAAAGAAAAATACTCAGGCTCTACAAACGTTCCATAATTTGTCTTTAAATAGGCAGAAAAAATTTTTAAAAAGATGGAACTGTTAAAGATCTTTAACTACCTTGGCAGGTCAATTTAAAAACAAAAGGTTGATATGCTATAAAATAAGATGCTTCAGTGCAGCTCCAAAAACCTTTATAAATACAGCCATTTGGAAGGACGATCCTGGATCAGAAATTATTCCTTGTGTATCTACATTATGTGCATGTCTCATTTCACTTGTCATAATGGTCTCTGTAATTTCCTCCTGAGTAGGGGTCATAACCACCCTGGTTTCTGCCATTATAGTCTCTGGAACGTCCATATCCATATCCATACCCTCCAGGTCTACTGTCATAATACCTGCCACTCCCATAGCCCTGGTCCCCACCACCTCTAGAGTAGCTGCGACCACGCCATGGGCCCCAAAGCCACCTCCTCTGGTTCCCCGAGCAGACTTGCCTGCATGAGCCACACGGATCTGACGACCATCCAGGGACTCTCCGTTCATGGCTCTCATGGCAACTGAAGCATGCTCTGGGTTGGTGAAGGTGATGAAACCAAAACCCCTGGACCGCTGAGTCTCCCGGTCCTTGACAACGACCACCTCAGAGATAGGTCCGAAACTGCTGAAGTGGTCTTCCAGCGCTTGCTCGTCGGTGTTAAAGTTGAGCCCTCCCACGAAAAGCTTTCCTTCTTCAGAGGACATGGCAGTTCAAGTCCTGCAAATTAAAACGTAAAAAACCCGGACAGACGGCGAGCTCGGAGGAGCACAGAAAACAAGCTGATGTTTTTAAATGCATGAATTAAACCACTTTAATTAATTCAAATCCTTAGCCAATTTAGGATGTATTATGAATATTAATATGTAGTTTACACCTTATTTTGATGTGTTTAAAATTAAATTAGAAATTTTAGTTTAGAATTTTTGAAATGATATCGATCATTTTCGAGTAATTCCTGGCAAGCCTTATGTCTTAGGTCATTAAGGCTGTAACAAAATACCATCAACTGGGTGGCTTACAAACAACAGAAATTTATTTTTACAGTTTGGAGGCTGGGAAGTCCAAGATCAAGGCACTAACAAGACAGATTTGGCCACTGATAGATGATGCCTTCTCACTGTGTCCTCATTTGGGTGAAGGAAAAAACTCTGGTCTCTTAGGTTCATTATAGGACACTAATCTCATTCATGAGGGCTTCACCCTGATGACCTAAACACCCTCAAAGGTCCTTCCTCTTAATATCGTCAAAGTGGGTATTAAATTTCAACATATGATTTTTGAGGGGCCACAAACATTCAGACTATAGCAATTTAGCTTCCCTAAGCACAAAAGCGTACAAAGTTGAACGCTAGGCTGCTAAATTTGTAACTTACTGAAGTTGTAGGATTGGGTTCCCTCTCCCTTCCAGAGGTCGAAAGTAGCAGATGACATGCTCAAAGTTGCCCACTTACCCAATCCATAGGGGATAATATTGATTTTTCTATATTTGTCATCTAGATTAATATTTTCCTCCAAACATGTTTCAAAGATCTTTCATTATTCAGGTTGATAACAGGTGTTCTTCAAAAGCAAACATATTATAAGTTTGTTTATCTGCTAGGTAAAACAAGTTTAAACCAATTTCCATCCTCTAGGAATTTTCAGAACCATTAATATATCAATTTATGTAGTGAATTTCCAAAAGTTGTTGTATAATATAGGTGATTTTTCTAATCTAAAAAGAACAGAGTCGTTTCGCTGATAACAATCAATTTAGGAAATAATTATATAGATTTTGTTGTAGGGTAAAGGTGTATGTCTACCTGATTTTTGTTGTTAAAAACAAGTCTTTGGAATGCCTGAATCAGATATGGGATTGTACAATTTATCTAATACACCTAGCTTTCTTGAGTCACGTTCATCTGTTTTGAAGTAGAGCACCAAAAAGTTTCCAAAATAAATGTTCTTTGGATTTAGTATATGTAAAAGAAAGTTTGTATTTCATACAGCAATCTGTGAGCCCATAAAGATATATGTAAAATTTTTGAGTAGTTATATATAATTTGGATTGCTGAACATTTAGTATATTGGATTTTAAAACAAGAACTTCAAAGGTAAAATATAATTCTCACTAATGAAAAGCACATGTGGTATGGCTAAATCCCCCAGCCCCCACCCCCATAAGCAACAGTCAGGGCAGGCCTAATGTGTGATCAGAGTACACGGCCACCTGTGAACTGAAGTTTGAAGAACATGATCTACCTAGCTGCCTTCCAAATCATGCTTACCTCCATCAGTTGAATAAGGTTGAGTGTCACCAGAAGAGTTAATATGTACAGTGTTGCCTGTGAAAGTTGGCACATCAAATTATTACTACTTATTAACCTAGAAGTTAGTATAGGTTTATTATCATGATTGTTACATGCCATGGCACTAATATTTAATAATAATAGGTAGCATTTCACTCAACCACATATGCCAGTTGCTTTACATGATAGTGACAATAGGTAACATTTTTGACCACTTAGTGTGCTACACATAGTGCTAAGTTTTTTACTTACATTATTACATTTAATTATTTCAATAACCTTTTGAAGTCAATTTCACTTTTATATCCATTTTATAGATGATGAAACTTAAGGCTTTGTAAACTTAAGTGTTTTACTCAATAGGTATAGTAAGTGGCTGAAATGGTCTTTAAAATGATCTTTATCTGATCTGTGAGTCTGCATTCTTAAAGCTCTATGCTTTAAGAATAATTACAATTCCCTAGTTTGGATAGATGCTGAAGTATTCTTATTGACTTTTATCATGGAAACAACTGAGGCTCATAAAAATCTATATACTTTGTCCAGGGTCTTGAGGGAACAGAGACATAGGTTTCACTGTGAGAAAATAAAGATAAATTATGTAAAACTACCTATGCCAGCAGAAGCACCAAATATGAGATTCAGGGCAAGAAGAACATATAGTTTGGCAATACAGAGATGAGGTGAAGGGAGAGAACAAAAAATAAAGTAGGATAAACCCCAAAGACCAAATTGGCCTTTGCAACAATTCCGTTCAGACTTTAAGGAAAAACTCTGTCTATTAAATCTTACGTGATGTTTTCTATGTAATTTATAAACTGTCTAAAAAATAAAATACGTTTGAATAGAAAATAATGTTTTCATTCCTAAAAGCATTAGGAAATAGACCACTTGAGGTCAGGGTAACACCAAAAAGAATTTCCCACCACTAAAACGAACCACATTGCAAACTCTTCCTAAGTGCTTAGCAATGTTCTGAAATGGCTCCATTTATGTGAGGCTTGAGAAAGGAAAGAGGCCTCTTGTGAACTTTTCAACCACAGAGAGGAGTGTTCTTTAAAAAGATATATTCAAAGGGCTATAACAAGTGCTACATATAAGTTGGTGAATTGCCTTATTTAAAAACAAGTGCCAATAAAAGATATTCTTCCTGTTGACAATCAAAATAATTCAATTTTCAGAAACTAAGTTTCTGCAAGTTATAATAACTGTTTTGTGTTTAATGTTCTTTACATTCTGTAGCTATTTTTTGATTTCTTATATCTGTTTTTAATGTAAGTACTATCTCATTGAAGATCTCATTGTTTTTGCAACATCTTATGGAATGAGTAATGCAGATTGATATTAATAAAAATTGACACTGAGTGATATATGACACACTGCTGCTAAGAGGCTTTGGAATATAGAACATAATAATTTGCCATGGTGGTTGTTTGATTTCAAATATTTCCTTTCTAGCAGACTTCCCCAGGAGAAAATGTTGGTTCCAGCTTTCACAGCCCAAATATAGGTGAGATTATGAATAATCCTTGATGTATTACAACTACAAAGGTTAATATACCAATTTTTTATCCTGCTAAGTACTAATCACTTTAGAAATCACTCTTTGGGACACCTATTATTATTATCTCATTGATAGATAAGGAAACTAGATTTTAGAGAGGTTAAATAATTTATCCAAAGTCACACAGCTAGTCGGTGGTAGAGCCAGGATTTAAATTCTGGCAATCTAACTTCAATTCCAACAGCTAACGGTTGTAACCGTTATTGTCTAGATGGTCTCCTGTGGAAAAAGCATTGTTGGAAACCCAGTTCTGACACTGCCATGACCTTCGTTTCTCTGTGTCTTGGATTCCCCATCTGAATAATGAGGAAAACTCTGCCTGAGCCCTGAGATCTATTAGATGTCTAACATTCTATACTGTCTCTAATTGTTACAGCAAAACCTTAGAGAAATGACTACTTGTGCATTATCCAAAATGAGTTATATTATAAATGGAAAAACTAGAGAAAATGAATGGTTATTTATAAAAGGAGAAATTAAAATCATATGTATTAATAACTCATGAAATACAGTGAATTCATTTAGTGTTCTGGTGCATATGAAAAAATTGGTTTTACAGATGCCTTTGGCGATTGCTTTCCTAGACCTTGTACCGTAAACCTGGAAAATATTTTTTGTTTGTTTGTATGTTTTATGTATTCAAATTTAAACAGCTGTTTTAGAGTGCTCTTTTTCTTATATTCCTAAGCACGGTAAATTAGAAAAATTTTGCCAGGGACCCTTCAATTCCCTTTGTCTAAAATATGCTTGTCTGACTTTCTTGGGTGTGACCAAAGGTCTTTAGTCTTATTTTCAAGTGAACTTGAAGGTCCTATTTTCAAGTGAACTTTTCCTCTTTGTAATTCCATCTTCCATTTTTATTAACCAGTTAAGCATGTTTTACTTTACACTGTGATAAGAGGATCAGAAACAGCTTCCCCACATCTAAGGCGATCTTAATCAATTGCAAGGAATACATGAGTGGCATAGTGTGGAAGCTTCCTGCCTAGAGGAAGAAGAGAGCTCCTCTGGATTATTACTTTTGATTCCATTGATAAAGGAAGAAAATTAGGTAACCTTGAAAATGAGTACTTTTGCCTGTGAACCATTTTGAAGGGACATGAGGTAAATTGTTATCCCCCTGTTGACCCTCAACTAACCTTTCACTTTTAACATATGTTTTTGAAGTGCCAGGCATGTTGATTTGCATGGCTGTTTGGGTACAAGTTTCAGAGAATCTTGCTCCCCCCAAGTCTTTCATCACTTTTTTGAACTTTGAGTATAAACATTAAAATGCCCTATGGCAAATCAATAAACATAATCCAGCATATAAACAGAACCAAAGACAAGAACCACATGATTATCTTCCACGTTATTTCAATGTGAATCAATCTACTGGTA